TCTACAGTCACCTACTGTATGAACTTCTTGTGCAAAGGGGGAAAATACAGGGAATTGACAGAATGTTGGCAGATCTCTATAAGACTTGGCTGGGATCAAGCAGACTGGAATTTCCACTAATGTTTCATTGGTTAAAGCAAGGTAAGCCCAACTGATAAGGTACTGAAAAGTTAAATACAAAGTAATGTATAATTTTACCTACAAAGGAATGTATAATTCTATTATGGAAGAGGACAGTATTGATGCTAATATATGCAAATAACACAATATTCCATTACTTATAATCACCCTATTTTTATAATAGATTCAATGAAATCTATTTTGTTTAAATTCTTGCTATGTGTGGACTTTGTCTAATGTGCTAGTGCAGCTTTCACTTATATCCATAAGTGATATCTTTCAAATTTCACCTATGATTCTTCCCTACTGTCAAGTTGTTATTTTATGCAGCATATTTTAACATTGCTATTGTAAGATTGGTAGGAAAACAAACCTATTTGAATCCCCAAACTAAACATGACCTCATTTGTAGGTGCAAAAAGCAGATGGACTCAAAATAGTCAAGACTTTAAGAGAGTGTACTAGTCAGTGCTTACTAGAGTCAGATATAGAAGAGTGAAAAACTTCTGTCTAGTCAAGGGCTTGGAGCACAGGGCAATGTCCCATGCATGTCCCTATCAATAATCTGCACCAGAAAGGGCCAAGGGCCGGTGGCAGAGTCTAAAAACTCCGCACAGGCAGGGTGGGGGGTCTGTGCCTGAAGACTGAGAGATCAGCACTGGAAGCAAGGAGATGGTGTCCAAGATGAGGATGAGGCTCTTCTGAAGAAAGACAACAGCCACAGCTTCTTTGAGGATGAACTGCCAAAAGATAGCTTCTTCAGGGAAATCAGCCACATGCAGTCTTCTCTTCCTCCCAATACAATATTCCTATCTATTATGATTTAAATACCTTCTCCCAAAATTTGTATTTTGGAATCCTAACAGCCAATATCTCAAAATATGATTGTATTTGAAAATAAAGTTTTGCCAAACCTTAGAATTCGTTGTAGTATTTTATGTGAAAGTTTCCCTGATTTTAGAGTGTTCATTAAATTTTTTATTCTGTAAAATTTTTACATTAACACAATTCATTTAATTTTTTCAATAAATTTATTTGATAAACAGACACCTCCAATTTATAGATGAGAAAATAATATTGTATGATTACAAGGACTTCTCAGTGTCATTCAACAACAAAAATATAAATCAAACTGTGTTTTTACCTAAGTTAATTTAGGTAAAAATTTCACACTCTTTTTCTTTTCCTGACCAACAATATTACTTCTCCCTACATATCTCTTCCTGGAGTTTTCTCTGTTAAATGGTCTGTTTTCTAGTTCTATGAACATGTATCTTTCTCAATAGCTTATTGGTGTGGTTTATTGCAGGCAGAAAAATATTGTGTAATATATTTGACACATTCAGAAAATTTTTCACCACATAGTGGGTAAGAAATGCTTATTAGCGTGACCTGGAAAAAACTTTATCAATAAGTATTGCCTTATTTGGTCCATAGGCAAGTGTCTTTTTGTCTTTTTCAAACAAATTCCAAGAAATAAATCACTTTTGATTACAGACATTACACTATTCCAGGTTGGCAACCCTGGAGGGATTACGTGTAGCCCTGTAATGAATATACTCAAGGTAGTGGGACTGAAAGGATTCATTGACTGGTGAGGCTTGAGAAAACATTTGGCAACCTTAACTTAGCTCACTGATATGAGCTAATACATTTAATAGTTCTGTCAGAATGCCTAGCTACTTCTCTGAGAGATGCCACTGGAATTTTTATACATTACCAGTGATAAATATAATTTATTATTCTTTCTACAATATCTTACCAAGTAGCTGATCCTCAGAGATTCTTACATTGTATCAATAATTATGCCTGTGTAGTAGAAAATACAAGAAGAACATCTTTGAGTGTTGTTGAACTCCACAGTTAGCTACATATCAAGTCATTTACACTTTTTGGCAGCTTCCTGGAGGAGAGCAATGTTGTTTCCTGCCATTAACAGATGGAGCCTCGATGTGAGAACTGCCACTGTAAAACCTGCAATATGTTAGGTTAAAGATTAAGTGAAATCAGTGTTAGAAGGTGCTATCATATTCTATATTACAATTGTATGTACTGTGCCAATTATAAGCCTCATAAATTTACTTATTAAAGATCGAGATTTATGACAAAACTTCGACCTAGAAAAGATGCTACATAGAAAAAAGAATTGTGTCCCTAATGTGAGTGACAGATGCTATGGAATCTGCACAACATGCTTCCCTGCTTTTCAAATTAAAGATGTACAAAACAAGAACATTTCTATGGGTTGCTGTTAAGGTTGATGAACCATGAAGTTGACAGCTTTTAAAATGTTTTAAATGCATATTATTTCATACATCAACATCAATAATTTCCCCCCTCTGTTTTCCAGATAAATTGGTTAATCTTAAAAAACATTGCTTTGAAATTCATGAATTGCAATGAGCACATGTATTTGAAATATACAAGCCTGGGGTACCCATTTTATATTTGGGTTTAATCTCAAATATTCTTGTATCAATGTGAATCATTGCAATGTCCAGTTGGTCTCAAATAAATCAGAATTTTCTGATTGTGAAGCTTTATTTGTAATTTTAATGATCCAATCAATAAAAAGTCACAGTTTAAACAAACATTTCTAAGCGTGCCTTTACATACCAGAAATGTAGTTAGTGGTCCCGGTTAAAGAATGCATGGAGTTTCTAAGTGTTATAGATAATTTCACATAGTTTGGGGAATACAGGTCATGAAATAGTGCTACTTTAATCCCTGGGCTTAAAGAAAACCATACCTCACAAATTAGTAGATTTTATGTTTGTTTTACAAAATCAGTGCTCAATCAAGGACTTCCTTCTTAAAGCATTTCATAACAGGGTTTCTTTACCTAACATATCTTTTCTTGTTTATAGGATTGATCATCAGAAACTGTATAAAGAAATAAAGAGTTATCTGGCTTCATTCTGTTCAGGGTCATGAAAAGAGAAATGGATCAGAAACCAAGAATATCACCTACTTATCGAGCTATTTTAAAGTCATTGATACATTTCTGTCATCATGGGAGAAAACAGCTTCTGTCTTGGATATGTGACAGAAATATTGTATACATTCACCAAACAGAAACAATAAAAATTCCATGAAATCACATTTAATACCTATTTAGGTAATATTGTCTAGATGGGATAAAGTCTTCCCAGACCACAATAATGTTTGATAAATTTATCAAAATTCATGACAGTCTAACAGAAAATGGCCCCCATAGCCAGTATACTTCAGTTTCTTAGTTGCCCAAGTAGTAGTTCCTGTTCCAGTTCTGGTTGCTTCTGTCTCTTAGAACAGCTGGTCACTGTGATGCATAGCTGCACTGTGGTACATATTGTAAGAACCAATCCCCAATTGACAAGCCATTCTGCCTCTGTACTTCCTGCTTGCTTATCCCAAATAAGCCCTAGATCACCAGAGATCAGGGCCTGGTATTCTGGGAATGACCCTGATCAGTGCCTGTTGATGTAAATAAATCTGCTTCCAAATCCTGGCTGTCATTTCAGTGTTTCTGCCTACCACTGCAACAGAAATATAGTTATAGAGTCATGTCATATTTTTGTAAGGTCCTTATAATTTCAAGAAAACAAAAGGCAATTAACCGGGCAATTGTGTGACTGATTCAGATAATTTTAGTAAATAATTATGGTTTTCCAGGAGGAAATTTACCAAGTACAAGACCAGTATTTAATTTGGAGAAGCAATTAAAAACTAGTCAGACCTCGTCTTTTCATTCACATTCCAAAGACCTTGAAAATGTGCATTTTTCATTCCTCATTGAATAACGGTAAAGTATTTCCATTTGTTTTGTCACCATACAGAGCCCTTACAGAGCCAGTATCACAGATACATGTGTAATCCATGAGTCACACAAACCCCTGCAGTGAATTTAATGCTCTGTGGTGGCCACCTTGAAATTAAAATAATATTGCCTTTGAATTTGTGCTTTTCATGTGCAGTCAGATGGAATGACAAAGATATGCCCATGGCTTGGCATCTTAGCGCACATATTCCCCATTTTTTCTTTGCCTTCCTGGGTCTAGTCCTTAGCTACCTATGATCTGAACCATGACCCTCTAGTCCCTGCTCAACTCTCTTTCTCCACCGACACCATGTGCTTCTGCTTCTGTCTACCCCAGCTGACGTCTGGACTCAGGTCAGGGGAGAGTGGGAGCCAGGTGTGAGTCTTGATGAGTCTTGGAGAGGAGCAAGGGAGCATTTGGCAGCATCACTGAACTTTGAGCAAAGGAAGAGGAGCTTCTTGCCTATACCTCGTCTAGGTTCCAATCAAGTTGCAGAACACAAGACAGTAATTTCAGGAGGGAGTTGCCAGACCTGAAATCTATACAACAAAAAGCAGAAATGTCAGAATTGTCAGAAACTACATGATTGGAGAAGGGGCTCCAGTTTTCTAGGGTTAATATCTCTGAAGAGCCAGGGATATCTCTCCCGAGTTATCTGCAGAGCCAGGGATATCTCTCCAGAGTTATCTGCAGAGTCCTAAAGTGTCACATAGGTGAAATTCAGACCTCTTGAAGGGCTGCTGTTAGATGAAGGCTTCTAGGTGTTGTTTATCTTGCTGGTCTGCAAGTCTGGCAAAATCCACCAAATGGCAAAATATGATGAAGAGCTCTCCATCAAAGGATAAATGCGGTGTGAGGTTTTGCATGAATGAAATCTTCATCTCTAAATCATCTGCTTCAGTGATTCTATTCACATTTACATTGGCTTTTGTAATTTTTCATTAACTTTTGCTACTGGGCTCAGAAGTAATAACAGATGCCCTATGAATAGACCTTTCCATATGAAATACATAGAAGCAAAATAATCTCTCCATTATAAAGATCAATCACCACAGCCAATATAATAATTTCTTTCCTTACCTTTGGTCAGTGGTATAAAGAGTAAAATCTGCAGGTGATTGGCTTAACTCCAGATTCAGTGCCTCACTGTCTTATCCTCTGGTACAAACACTTCTCAGGAATTCAGTCCTCCTACCTACAGATTATAGATGAGTGAATAAAAATCAGCACTTATACGTTAAGGTTAAGTATCTTGTTTCACATGCTTATATAGTGTGGGAGGATATTTTCAAAGCATGAATTACCCACTGATTAAATCCAGGTATTGCTTCTACTTATAATTTATGATTAGTATCATATTGAGTCTTCAATACAGTATTTTATTGGGTCTGGATATAGTGTAAACACTTTATTATTCATTTAAGTGTATTGATACATTTATTTTAAAGACAGATGAGCTGTTCTTTTCTTCTTCTTTGAGTAAACTTTTTAGGTAGAGATTTTATCTGGTAATGTATCAATGTTAATAGTGTTTTGGTTTATGTATTTTTATTACTATGAAAGTCATGTAAATTCCATGACTGTCTTTCTATTCATTTTTCACTGTTTGCACTTTTCCTAGACCAGAAATAAATGGCCTATGCAGGAAGGCATTAAGAGTTTCACTAGTGCTCTATGGCTTTTACTTCTGAATGGCTTTCTTGTGTGATAAAGTGCAGTATCTTTAGATAACTGTGCAGCTTGGAGCTCAGTGAGAAAGCATATGTTGTAATTCTACCATTAACTTTACTTTCTGCTGAATCCCTAGTTTGATTCTATTTTTCTCCATCCTTCCAGTTCCAAAGGGCACTTTTTTCCTTCAAGTTGCAAGACTGTCAGCTCTGTTCTTAACAATGAATTTTCTAAGGTTTTTACCTACAGTCTAGCATTTCTGCTTATATCGCTTAATATGTATGTTATTTCTGGGGAAATATTAAGAGATTATCATTCAATATGGGCGTGGTGGCACACAACTGTAATCCCAGCACTCAAGAGACTGAAGCAGGAGGATTGCCCCAAGTCTGAGCCCAGCCTGAACTATATAGTGAATTCATAGCCATCCTGAGCTACATAGCAAGACCCTGTCTCAAAAACAAAAAACAAAAAACAATAAATAAAACAAAAAAAATACAAAAAAGGAAGGAGAAATTATAATTTGAGCAAGCATCATAGCCTATAGAAACAGAGAAACTCAGAATATAACAGGTATTTTGAATCCCACAAGAAAATATGTAACTTTTTGCTTATTTTCTGTCAATATTCATTTAGGGTTTGGCGTGCATTTTCCCCTTAACTACTTGTAAGTCTAACATCTCCCTATTACCATTTCGAATGCTTTACTTTCTGCATGAAAAAACTCTATGACTTTTATTGCAGGGTTGAGCAGGACTCACTAGCCTATTATTTATCTGAATATGTCTTTATTAAATGTCACACTTGAGAAATATTTTCATTAAATTTAGGTTTTCAAATGTGAAGACACTTTTTTGGTCTTTGAAGTAACATTTTCACTGTCATCTGTACTCCATTATTTCCTTTTGAAAATTACCTTGTAAGTATTGACTTTCAAAAATAATATTTGTCTAACATACATTTGCAATTTCCTCCTAATCAATATTTTTAAATGTTTAATCAATGTAGCATGATATTCCTAGATGTAGTTTTCTTTTTCATTTATCATCTTGAAGACTTCAAAGGATTGGTCTGTCTTTGGGGTGATCCCACTCAGTAGTGTTAGAAAATTCTGTCATTACTTCTGTGAGTTTTGCGTTTTCTCAATTCTAACCTTTTCTTATACAATTGCAATCACACAAACATTGGACCTTATCAGTATTTCTTGTAGGTCTCTCATGTTCTTATGTTCGTTGGGTATTTTCTTATTTTCATTGGGTTCAATGGGTATTTTCTCCATTTTAATTTTTTATAGTGGTATTAATTATAGTTCATATATTCTGTGAAGAAACTAATCTGCTTTTAAATCTACCTACTGAATTTTTAACAAGGTTATATTGTATTTAATATTTAAGTTTAAATTTAACAGTTTAATTGATTGCAAAGGCTGGTGAAATCCTCCATTTTGCAACTTATTTTTAATATAACAATGACAATTAAATAAATATCACGTATGTGGCCTTCAATATTTGAATTAGCTATAACTGTTTTTGTAACGATATATGTCTTTGTTCAATAAAATGCATTTAAGGAAATGCATAATTTCTAATCTAGACATCTATATGTTAATGAAATAAATATTATTTAAAATGATGAACTACTACAGTACCAATAATTAAAGCTGAAATATTTGAAAATTGAAGCAGATATTTTCTTTCTAAGTGGTATCTGTAAAGCACAATGATTTAATATAGTTGTAGGGTCACAAACAAGTCTGTTCTTTATAACAACTCTAGCACATAAAAGTCACATTAAAAGGTCTTCAAATCTCAGCTTCCTACAGACCCAAAATTGTGAGTAAGAAAATTAACTTTCTGTTAGGTGAAATTTCACCAATTGAGGGACAAATTCCCTTTTTTCTTGTTTCTGTTAACTAATCCCATTAATGAATCAAACTGACTACTTATCATCTGAATCTTGAAAGGGCAAATTCTCATGATGCACTTGATAAATAATGAAATGATCTTCCAAATATAAATTACTTACAGCTCCAAAAGCCTTCTGGAATTTTTCACTGTGGGTCCATAACAGGATATTTTTATTTTCAATTGAGAAATCTTATTGGATTGTCACATTATCTTTCCTGAGTCCAAGTAGTTGTTCACTTATAAAATTTGTAGGGGATAAAACATCCAAAGAGCTCAAAACACATCCTTTGGAGAATCTAGAATAATGCTTTATTAACATTAATTTTCCCATTAATTTTCCTTTTACTAATAGGCTTAGGAATTTTAGTTTTTACCAGTTTATTTGATGTAATGGTTTCTCCTTAAAAGTAAGAAAACCCTTCTTTTATTTCTTTGAACAAACTTGTTTTTCAATTTTAGAATGGATTTGTAGAATGTTACAATGATAAGACAGAGAAGCTATACATATCAAAATATAGTTTACCTTACTATTAACCTCTATCTATTATTAGCCTACTGTTACATTGTTATGGTTTGTGTCTACATGTCCCCAGAAAGCCTACTCAGTCAAGGGGCAGGCTTCCAGAGTTTTTGATTGATTTGTGAGCCAATGCTGGGATTATGAGTGTGAGTGCTACATCCACCCTGGGGCAGGCAGCCTGCATACAATAGAAGGGGGAGAAAGAGTCTTGCTCTCTGCTGCTCCTCCTTTTTTGCACTTGCTGCTTTTGCTGTCTTCCACCACCATGAACTGTTGCTCTCTGCCATGTGCCACTCTGCCTTAGAGTCAGTTGAATATGGACTGCAACCTCCACAACCTGTGAGCTAAATAAACCTTCACTTGCTTAATTCTGAGCATCAGGTATTTTGTCCCTGCAGTGAGAGAAAAGTAACTGAGACATAAAATTGATTAATATAGAACATTTGACACAAATATTGACCATTATCATGTGGCTGAGATAGTGCTTGTCTGGCTTTTCTACTGAAAAATTACTTTTATCTACACTTTCCATACTGTAATACAGTGGTACCTTGTTTAATGAACTTAATTCATTCCATGATTCTGGTTAAATGGCCACATTCATGTTTATGCAGGGAAAATGGCTGTGGTTGTGTTTGTCTTATGATGTCATGTTCATGAACAGAAGCAAAATTTTGCTGAATGCTTCTGTTTGCAAAGCAAATTGTATTGCTTCTTGTATGCAAACCAAGGTACTACTTTATTTGGAAGTGGTGTTTTATGTGCAGTTCACACTAAGGATAAAGTGCAATTTTCTTCTAAAAGAGCCTTTCCAATCTTTATCTTCTGCTTCTTGTAATATTTAATTTATCTGTATGCACTAATCACCAAATATATTGCTAATAATAATATAAAAAGTTCTTTTGGGCCAGTTAAGAATAAATAAATATAAATTGTACTGCTATAAACAAGATGTGATACTTTCATACAATGAAATATTACTCAGCTATAAAGAAAAATAAACTTGAGGCTTTTAAAAGTAAATGGATGCAACCAGAGACAATACTCATAAGTGAAATAAATCAGACTTGCATGTGAAAACATCATATGGTCTCCCTAGTGTAAGAAGTTGAGACAGTAAATGAGATCCAAAAGGTACAATAGATCTTGTGAAAGGGAAAGAAACTGCTCAAAAGGAAAGAACAACTAAGATGAGGGAAAGGAGAAAAGAAGGACAGAATATATAGATATAGATGATACAGATATAGATTTAGATGATATAGATACATGTTTATCTATAGATATATACATACAAGATAGCCAAGACAATTGTATTACTAATTTCTATTAGTTCGTTAAAAGACACAGTTGGTGTTTATATTGTTTGATCAATCTTACATGCCTATGTCTGGTAATCTGAGCAACTACTTGGAAGATAACCTTATGCAGCATAATCGCCATTGCTAATTTCCTATCATCTTGTTTTGAAATTCTGTGTCTTCTTATTGTTTCCTATATCTTCAAAATAAAAAAATTAGAACATAGAAAAGAATAAATAAATATAAAATAATTATGAATATAAAGTAATTTGTGCTATCTGTATTTGTTGGTTTTCCAGTTGCTGGGACAAGATACCTGATACTTCAGACTTAAAGGAGGTGCTGTTTATTCTGGCTCATGGTGTCAGAGGGTTTAGTCCATAGCTGGCTCTTTCCAAAGAAAGTACATCATGGTAGAAAGTGTGGTAAAGTAAAGCTGCTCAAGTCATGGGGTCTGAGAAGTAGAAACTGAGGGAAGAAGTTGAGAGGAAAGGACCAGGCACCGTATATAGTCTCCAAAGTTAGCCCTCAAGGATCTCCTTCCTCCAAGTAGGTCCCACCTCCTAATACACCCTAGGCTATGTGCTTATCAATGGGTTAACCCATTCATGAGGTTACTAGCTTCACAATTCAAATGCCTCATGTGGAATAATTTAATGCAGTCAAGTTGGCAATCAAGATTAACTAGCACATTATATTTACTTAAACTTTCTTTGATAATTTTGAGTTCTTTCTTCAGATCCAAATTTTCAATGTATATATATATTTTTCTTACTGCCTAAGTATCTTGTTTAATGGT